CAAAGAACAAGGTGGAGAGTGACCGACGGACTGAGGTCTGCACACGTGGGCACAGTACACATCCCACACAAATCACACTGCTATCACACCAGCCAGGGCCTGTAGGGCATGGGAGTTCAGGGGCAGAAAGGTGAACAGAAAATGCTGGGCATCAGTTAGACGTTGAGAATGTATATTCTCCAAGAGCTGGAGGGAAGGTGGGAGCTATTGGGGGGGCAGGGTCCTGGCCCTGGCTGCCTACCTTCCTCTCGGCTATTCCTAATCTGTGGTTGCTGCCCCCTCCCAGCGGTACCTGGATGAGGCGGAGAAGGAGAAACAGCAGTACTTGAAGGAGCTGTGGGCATACCAGCAGTCAGAGGCCTACAAGGTCTGCTCAGAGAAGATCCAAGAAAACAAAATAAAAAAAGGTGAGGGGCCCTGGGTCTGCGATGAGGTGCAGAGCGCAGATATTTAGTATCAAGACGGGGTCACCGGTGTCCTGAGGATGGGGACCCCCCACACCTCCACCCCCCCCCACCCGTAGCCCTGACTGACCACGCCCTCCCTCTCCACTAGAGGACTCTGGCTCTGGACTCATGAACACACTCCTGAATGGGCACAAGGTAAGGTGCTGGCCGAAAGTACGTGGGGGAGAAGGCGTGGATGTTTCAAGCTGGTCGGGGCCATGTTCAGAGGAGGAAGTGATCATGACCGTTTCTGGGTGTGCTCCAGTCAGAGGCAGGACTCCTGAGGGGCCACAGCAACCCTGGGATGGGGCATGACTCAGTGATGAAATCATGGTCCAGCATGCAGAGGACTCGTGGCTCACGCGCGCGCGCGCGCACACACATACTCACACACACACACGCATGACCATACACACACAGAGTCAATTGAAGTGTTTTCGTTTGAGAGAGGGCCTATGTATCCCAGGCTAGCCTGGAGCTCACTGTGAGGTGAAGGTGGCCTTGAATTCCGATCTTCCTGCCTCTTTCTCCAGTTTGGGGATGACAGGCATGGTGTGCATCCCAGAGCTCTGTGCTGGGCAAGTGCTCCGCCCACTCAGCTGCAGCCCTTCTCGCGCCTAACTGTTGCTGAGGTGGCCACGGCAGCGCACACCTAAGCTCCCGACACTTGGAGCTTGTGGTAGGAGGGGTGTGACAGGTTTGAACAGAGAAGGACCTTGTGTCAAAACACAAGCTCAGCCGTGGTGGCGCACGTCTTCAATCCCATCACTTGGGAGGCAGAGGCAGGAGGATCTCTGTGAGTGTGCAGCCAGCCTGGTCTACAAAGCGAGTTGCAAGACAGCCAGAGCTCAGAGAAAAACCCGGTCTCAAAAAACAAAACAAACAAAAAAGAACCACAAACATGAAGAGTAACGCCAATCACAGGAATAAATCTATGCACAGAGTGCTTGCTTGGCGTGTACGGAGCCCTGTTCAGCACGGTTGCCCCTGAGGAGGACTGGGGTTCAATTCCCAGCACCCACATGGACACTCACAGCCCCTGAAGTTCAGCTCTGCGGGAATCTGCTGTCCTCTTCTGGCCTCTGTGGGCATACACACAGACAAAACACACACACAAAACAGAAGTAGGCTGCACTGCCACCAAGAGTGGCCCAGGAGACCCCCCCTCCCGCCCCAGAGTCCCCATCAAACTCATTGCCATGTCCCAGGGTGTGGACTGCGATGGCTTTTCCACCTTCGACGTTCCCATCTTCACTGAAGAGTTTTTGGACCAAAACAAAGGTGAGGTTTGGCAAGTGCTGGTACCTTGGTTGGAGAGTAAGGGCTGGAGGGGGCTGGGGGTCAGAGGTGAGGCCAGGGATGGAGAGCGTGTCGCGCGCCCTCCGTGCTCTACCCAGCCCTGCCCTGGGCTCTGACTCCCTTCCCGCAGCACGTGAAGCGGAGTTGCGGCGCCTGCGGAAGATGAACGTGGCTTTCGAGGAGCAGAATGCGGTGCTGCAGCGCCACACGCAGAGCATGAGCAGCGCGCGCGAGCGTCTGGAGCAGGAGCTGGCGCTGGAGGAGCGGCGCACGCTGGCGCTGCAGCAGCAACTGCAGGCCGTGAGGCAGGCGCTCACCGCCAGCTTCGCCTCGCTGCCGGTGCCCGGTGCGCGGCCCCGCCCACAGTCCCGCCCACCGAGCCCGCCTTCCTACGCGCTCGACCCGCTCCGCCCTTTCCCAGCACAGGCCCCGCCCCTCGCTGACCCGCTGTCCCGCAGGCACCGGGGAGACGCCGACGCTCGGGACCCTGGACTTCTACATGGCGCGACTGCACGGAGCCATCGAGCGTGACCCCGCGCAGCACGAGAGGCTGATCGCGCGCGTCAAGGAGATCCTGGCGCGAGTGGCCAGGTGCGCGGGCGGGGCGGGGGCGGGGAGTGCACGGCTCTGCCTCTCGGTCTCCAACACCCCTTTCCGTCCTACAGCGAACACCTGTGACAGAGCCCTCCTGGACCGGGAGACGCCAGTCCCCACCCGCCGAGGAAGAAGCTGGGGGTCCCGATGGGGCCGCGCCCCGTGCTGCACCTTGGGGTCTCCAGAACCCCCTCAAATGAAGTGTTAATGCATCCCTTTAGCTTCGAATCCTAGACTCCCAGGTTGCAGAGCCCGGGCCCTCCCTGCCTTGCAGGGAGAGGAACGGAGGAGCCACAGCCGCTCGACTTGGACACACCCCGCCCCAGGTGCAGAGCTCGCCCCCAGGGCACTCACCGCAGGGCCGGGGGTCCCACTGCGCAGGCACTGGGCGACGTGTCACAACCAGGGGAGGCTGCAGTACAACCCCCACCCCAGTGTCTTCCATCACCCGATCCGGACTTTTAAATAAAAAGAAGTGGGATTTGCACTGAAGTTAATTTTTGCGGCTTGGGGGGAGTGGGCCTGGCCCTTCGCCTGATTCTCTCGCTACAGTGACCTCTGGTAGAGGGTCTCAGATCCTTTACTACCCTCTTATCAGGTGGGGAAACTGAGGCAGAGCTGGGCTGGGGTCTCCCATCGACCCGGCCCTCCTGAGGGTCCTTTAAGGGTTCGAGGGTAGAGTCGGGCTGGCCACTCAGTTCACCCCAGTTTCCAGACTAGGTCATCAGCAATTTTACTGTCTTAGGAAACAGCACACACACTTCCCCAGGTCCTCCAGCTGTCAGCTCTGTGTAGTTCCAGAAGTGCACCCATCACCCATGCCCCGTGCTTGGAGTCACGTGTCTGGCTCATTCACCGAGCACGATAGCACCGACCCGACGCTGCGGGCCATGCCCTCTTCACGGCTGAGTAATACACCAGTGTGCATGGTACAGTCCAGTGTGCTCCGGGACTGTCCAGTGTGCCCTGGGACTGTCCAGTGTGCCCGGGATGGTCCAGTGTGCCTCAGACGGTCCAGTGTGCCCCGGGACTATCCAGTGTGCACCGGACGGTCCAGTGTGCCCTGGGATGGTCCAGTGTGCCCCGAAACTGTCCAGTGTGCCCTGGGATGGTCCAGTGTGCCCTGGGTCAGTCCAGTGTGCTCAGGGACGGTCCAGCGTGCCCCAGAACTGTCCAGTGTGCCCCGGGACTGTCCAGTGTGCCCGGGATGGTCCAGTGTGCCCCGGGACAATCCAGTGTGCCCCGGGACGGTCCAGTGTGCCCGGAAATGTCCAGCGTGCCGCAGGCTGTCGTGCGTCACTCTGGCGAGGCCAGCCTGTGCCTGCGTCCTGTTTACACAGCAGTCGGGATGTCGCAGATAATTGTCTCGGATAACTCTGGCTCCTCCGTGAGAGAGTTCTGCCAGGGGGCTGCTCAATAATGAGAGAGTGAGACTATCTGTAAGAACGTGCACAATTCCACACGCCTGGTGCCGAGGAGCTGTCTCCCCTCCCCCACGTGTTCCAGCCCTCGCCCCAGAACCTCCAGGCATGACCGTATTAGGAATTAGGGTGATGGCGGGTGTAATTAACCCCAGGGAGGTCACGCTGGGGTAGAGCGGGCACTGTGCCAACAGAGTGTCTTTTCGAGAAAAGGAAAGTTGACACAGACCTAGGACTGTCAGCTGAGAAATGACAGAGGTAGAGACAGATCAATATGCCTGCAGCTGGGGCAGACGGAGTAGGGAACGCCTCTCAGAGCACGTGAGGAGGGGGAACACCCCCATTTAGAACTGAGGGAGGGAGCCGGGCATTGGTGGTGCATGCCTTTAATCCCAACACTCGGGAGGCAGAGGCAGGAGGATCTCTGTATTGGAAGCCAGCCTGGTACAGGATAGCCAGGGCTACACAGAGAAACCTTGTCCTAAAAAAGAAACAGACAAAAGCAAGTAAGTAGGCAAGCAAACAAAAAATCAACCTAACAAGCAAAAGAGCTGAGGGACAATTAATTAATTCTGAGTTTTGTGTTGTGTTAAGGCCTCATGTAGCCCAGGCTAGCCTGGAACTCACTGTGTAGCCAAGGGTGATGCGGAACTCCTCATCCTCCACCTCCACCTCCCCCGCTGGGCCGGTGTCTCTAGGCCTAGACACTTTCTCTGTCTCTCTCTGTGTGTCTCTCTGACTCTCTGAAACCAGCTCCTCTGTGGCACTCTGTAGAGGGAACTTAGGAGACCCGGGCATCTACTTCTGCCCCCTACTCCACTTCATCTGGCTCAGGTCTAGTCCACCACACACCTGCATCTCCATCCCAGCACTGGGGAGGCGAGGCAGGAGGATCAGGAGGAATTCCAGGCCAGCCTGCACTACCAGGAGACCCTATTTCAAAAGCAAAACTTTTTTTTAAAGGGGGGCGGGGAGATTCGGAGGTACGGGCAGCAGGTGGTCTTTGGCATAAACAGGTGAGCAAGAACTCATTGGAGGCTCTGGGGACTGAGCCCCAGAGGAGGTCGCTTGTGCAAGAGCCCTGGGGCAGGGAGAGGAGGGAGGCACGCGTGGCTTAGCAGAGAGGAGGGCGGTGGGCCTTGCGCGGAGCGGGGAGGGGGGCGAGGGGGGCGGGGCTCCCGGGACGCCTGGACTGCGCGTAGCGCCGGAGCCCGGGGCCTCCCCCTGTTGTTCGCGGGTCCCCAGGGAGCTGCGCGGCTGGTCCCGGCGCGGTTTCACCTTCCCGCGGGCGGCTCAAGTTCCCGGATCCGCTTACGCCCGGCTCGGCTGTCGCCGGCCCGGGGCGGGAGGCGCAGGACGCGGCGAACCCCGCGCGCCATGGACAGCGCTGCGCCCCGCGAGCCCGGGGCCACCGAGCCCCCCGCCCGCGCGCGCCCGCGCCTGGTGTTCCGCACGCAGCTGGCGCACGGCAGCCCCACGGGCAGGATCGAGGGCTTCACCAACGTCCGCGAGCTCTATGCCAAGATCGCCGAGGCCTTCGGCATTGCGCCCACCGAGGTGAGGTCGGACCCCAGGCCCCGCCCGGGACCCATCTGCACGCCTCGCGAAAAGCCGGACGAGACCGTGTGGGTGGGGTCCCCACATCCGCCGAGGACCCGACCCAGGCGTCAGGACGCCGGCGTGGCTGGTGGATGGGAAACAGCTCAGGGGGCAGAGTGCGCGAACGGCCAAATTCCGTCGCCCACACGGGATACAGGTGTAGTAGTGTAAGGGCTGTTACACAGTGCTGGGAAGGTGGAGGATTCGAGCTACGCAGTAAACTGGAAGGTCGGCCTGGGCTACACGAGACCCTTAAAACATCACTTTTAATTTCTTGAATTTAATTCTTCGTGTTACGTTTCTAGTTGTTGTTTCTTTTCTTCCTTTTTTCTTAATTTTTTTTTTCTGAGACCAGGGTCTCACCGTGTAAATCCGACTGTCCTGGAACTTGCTCTGTAGACCAGGCTGGCCTTGAACTCACAAAGGTCCTCCTGCCTCTGCTTCCCGATTACTGGGATTAGAGGCATGTGCCACCACTTAGTGTGTTTTTAGTTTATCGCATGTGGGGAACCAAAGCAGACAGCAGAGGTTGGGGAACAGCTTGTGGGGGCAGTTCACCCTTCCGCCATGTGGGCCTGACCAGCTGGCAGCTGTCTCGCCTGCCTGCTCCCGTCCCTTTGTTTGTTAAATTAGGATAAGATCTCACTTTGTAGCCCAGGCTGGCCTGGAACTTGCTCTGTAACCCAAGCTGGCTTCTAGCTTGCAGCAATCCCCTTGACTCAGCTCCCCAGCTTCTGTGGTTACATTGGTAAACCAGGATGCTTGAGGAAGTCTAAGACTCTCAGTCATCCTCCTGGCTCAGCCTCCTGAGTGCTGGGATGACAGACAGACACCATGCCCACAGTCAGGCCTGCCCCCTTGTTCACCGGTGAGCAGTGGGGGCCACAGCTGTGGCTCATGGGTGCTCTGGCCTCCAGGGGGCGCCCACAGAGCCCATCTACCCCAGAAGGGTGTGCACAGGGTGGTACCTCTGTGACTGATTGTGGTCCCTGTCCTGTCCGGACAGATCCTGTTCTGTACCCTCAATAGTCACAAAGTGGACATGCAGAAGTTGCTTGGGGGGCAGATCGGACTGGAAGACTTCATCTTTGCACACGTGCGTGGAGAGACCAAAGAGGTGGAGGTCACCAAAACAGAGGATGCTCTAGGACTGACCATCACGGACAATGGGGCCGGATACGCCTTCATCAAGGTGCCTGTGGGTGTGTGTGGTGACGTGGGTGGTCTGGGTCTAAGGAGACTCTGGGGACCCTGGGGAGGATGGCCCGGCGGCCCCAGGAGTGACCGATTCCCCACAGAGAATCAAGGAAGGCAGCATCATCAACAGGATCGAGGCAGTGTGCGTGGGAGACAGCATAGAGGCCATCAACGACCACTCCATTGTGGGCTGCCGGCACTACGAGGTGGCCAAAATGCTGCGGGAGCTGCCCAAGTCCCAGCCCTTCACCCTGCGCCTGGTGCAGCCCCGAAGAGCCTTTGGTGAGGACCACTGCGCCCCGGGGTTGCCCCAGGGCAGAGAGAGGCAGGAAACGGTTTTCTGAGACAACAGTCTCATAGCCCAGGCTACCCTCAACCCAGTATTTAGACAAGGATGTCCTAGAACTCCTCATCCCGGCCTGGTTTGCAATGGCTTCTTCGCGGTGTGCCAGGGATGCTCAGATGAGGAGAGGCGGTTGCTTCCAGAAGTTTTTCAAACTTGGCGATGCCAGCAGTGTTCTGGCTGTTTTCTCTGTAGTGTCCCAAGCCCTTCAGGGTGCTGAACTCACTCCTTGTCAGGAGCTCCGCAAGGTGGGAAGCCACAAACTTCCCCAAACACCACTCAGGGTCGCTTAGGGAAAGAGGGGATTGTGGGCGGGGCTCCATCCTGACCACGCCCCCAGCCCTTCAACAGACTTAAGGAGCCGGAGGCAGCCAGAGCAAGACCCTGTTTACAGAAAAGAACAAATATAAAACAGTCCGCACAAAACAGAACACTGTGTCTGCTTTGTCCCCGCAGACATGATTGGCCAGAGAAACAGGAGCAGCAAGTGTCCCGTGGAAGCCAAAGTGAGCAGCGGGAGGGAGACACTGCGCCTGCGCTCTGGGGGCGCTGCTACCGTGGAGGAAGCGGTGAGTTCAGGGTCCGCTAGGAGTCCCATAACTAATGGTGTAGTCACAATTAACACCCTCTCCGTGGAGCCCAGAGTGCGGATGGTAGCCCAGGGCTGTCGTCCCAGCACTCAGGAGGGTGAGGCAGGAGGATGATTCAGAGCGGGACCCAGGTCTCTTTCCCAGCTTGTGCAACGGGTACCGGGTACCGGTTGGAAGGCGGGGAAACAGGAATGAGTCCAGATCACAAGGTCCCAGGGGTGCCAACCGTCCCTGGCCAGAAATGCAGGAGGGACCGATTGACCTCCAACTTTTCCTTTTTTGCACTTGTGTGTAGAGGCCCAAGTTTAATATCTGTGCCTTCCTTTCTCCCCAACTTTTAATTATAAAATTGCATTCATTACTCTATTACAATCTGTCTGCATAGTGTGTGTGTGTGTGTGTGTGTGTGTGTGTGTGTACAAGCGTGCAGAGGTCAGTGGACACCTGGGGAGTCATTTCTCCCCTCCTCCTTTACGAGGATTTTAGGGGCTGAAGTCCAACTTTCTCTCGCACAGAGCGCCTAGACAATTATAATTCTGTGTATTAATTGTACTAGATAATGGGTGTCCTTGTGAGATGTTTCACGCGCGTGTCAAGCTTGTTTGAGGGCACCCATTATCCCCCTATCCCCTCATCGTGTCTCCCTCTCTCCCTCCCCCCAAGACCTCCTCCTCCACTCACCTCTTCTTTTTTTGGTTTTTTTGTTTTTGTTTTTTTCAAGACAAGGTTTCTCTGTATAGCCCGAGCTGAGCTGTCCTGGAACTAGCTGGGGCTCAAACTCACAGAGATCCTCTGCCTCTGTCTCCTAGAGTACTGGGGTTAAAGGCGTGCACCACCACGGCCCTGCCCACACACCTCTTTTTAATGTCACGTGATTTACTTCAGGGACTGAATAGCAACAGCTACACCACTGAAGAGTTGCTTACACAGTCTGCCTCCTTGGGGCGGGTCGCCCAGCCCCTCCCCTTTGCTGTCTATCCTCAATCCATCCGGAGGGCGTCACCCCTAGCCCACTCACCCATCAATCTTTAGGCGCGCGGGTCCGGCAGCCCTTTCCCCTAGCAACCACCGAAGGTTTATCAACCCTGGTCTTGCCCGTCTCTCACCCGGCCACTCACCTGTCCGCAGCCCAACGACTTGGAGGTGGCGGCGGCGCGCAGGGTGGATGACCTGCTGGAGAGCTATATGGGCATCCGGGACCCCGAGCTGGGTAAGCGGCGCGGGTAAGCGCGGGGTCCCCGGCGTGGGCTGGGGGCGGGAGTATGCGCCCGAGCTGACAGTAGGTTCCGTCGGTGCGTCTGTCTGTCCTGTCCCTCTGTCCATCCCATCCCTCTGTCCGTCCGTCCTTCCATCTGTCCGATCCCGCAGCAGCTGCAGTGGTGGAGACTGCCCGGAGCGCAGCGGGAGCCCAGGCCTTCGCACGAGGCCTGGACGCCGTTCTGGGCGAGTTCGCCTTCCCGGACGAGTTCGTAGTAGAGGTGTGGGCAGCCATCGGCGAGGCCCAGGACGCCTGTGGCTAGCATGTGCGGGGGTCCGAAGCCCTGGGCCCAGCCCCCTGCCGCAACGCCGCTCCAGGACCCAGGACAACCCTGATACCCAGGCTGGTTCTAGAACCCGGCCCAATTCTGGAACCCAGGCCCACCCCAAGACCCAACCTGGCTCTCGAACCAAACCCAGTTCTGTAACCCAGGTCAGGCCTGGGGCCCAGCCTAGTTCTAGCACCCAGGTCAGCTCTGAGGCCCAGCTGGAATTCCAGCCGATGTCTGGAGCCCAGTTCAGGCCTGAGGCCCAGTCCAGCTCTAGAACTAAAACTGAGGCCTGGTCCAGCTCTAGAATTGAGCACAGCTCTGTAACCCAGACCTACCCCGAGGTTCAGCCCACTTCTAGCAGCACCCAGGTCAGCTCTGAGACCCAGCCAGGCTGTAGAATCCAATCTAGTCCTGGGACACAGCCTGGTTCTAGAACCCACGGCAGTTCTGAGGCTCAGACCAGCTCCAGAACCAAGGGCAGCCCTGGGGCTGAGCCCTGTTCTAGAACCCACCCTGAATTTGAATTCAAGTCCAGCCCTAGAACCCAGGCTGACTCCGAGGCCAGACCTAGTTCCAGAGCCCAGGGCGGTTCTGAAGACCACACCAGCCCAGAGACCAAACCCAGACCTAGAACCCAGGGCAACTCCCAGGTCAAATTCTGTTCTGAAATCAAGGCTGCTTCTAGAATACAGACAGGCCCTGAGGGTGGGCCGGGTTCTAGAACTCAGGCCCACCCAGATAGGAATCCTGGCTCTAGAGCCCAGCTGGGCCTGGGGTCTAACCCTGATGCTGGAGCCCAGGTCCCCCGGCCAAGTCCTGCCCCACAGCCCCACTCCAGAACCCAGACAAGTGTTAAGACCCAGCTGGGCTCAGAGCTCCATCCCAACTCTGAATCCCAGCCCAGTTATGAAACAGTCGCCACCACCGCAGCCTGGCCCTTTCTTAACATTTGGAGTGACTCTGGAGGACCAGCTAGCTCGGGAGCCCAGGCAAGGTCCACCAAGCCGCTGGCTATTGGAACCCAAGCCAGCTCCACTAGCCAGCCATGTTCCCGACCGCTGCCCCAAGCAGGCAGCCAGAGCCGTGCTACAACAGAGTCCAGACTCAGACCCCAGCCCTGCTCCCCAGCCTTGCCCCCCAGCGCCTCCCCGCACCCTGCACCCCAGGCTGGCTCCAGTGGTGAGTCAGAGTCTGAGGATCAACCAGCAGGGGGAAGCCAGCCTGTTGTGACGGCCGGGCCCCACTCCCAAACGGCCTCCATCTCCCGTGGGAGGCCCGGCCCCAGGGTGCTGGGCACCCAGCCCTCCTCATCCAGAAGTCATGCCGGCTCCAGGGCATTGTCTAACTCAGGGACCCAGACAGACTTCCACGCCTGGCCCAGCTCTGGAGCCCACGTGGGTGTGGCCAGTCATGGAGGGTCTCAGCCTCAGCCACTGGCTGAGAAGGAGCCCAGCTCCAGAGCCCAGTCTAGTGCTGGGGGCAGATCCGGTGCAGGCTCCCAAAACCAGCATCTGAGGACAGCTGGGGCCAGCTGTGCCCCCCAGAGAGACGCAGGACAGAGGCTTGGCTCTGGAGCCCACTGGGTCTCTAGAACCCAATTCCCTCCTCAGGTTCCAGCGTGCGCTGGAGCCCAGGCAGGTGCCGCAGAGGCCTTGCGCCCCAGAACCCAGCCAGGCCCTAGCCCTGGCGGTTCTGGAAGCCGGCCCTGCTTCGGAGCCCATCTTCCCAGCTCTAAAGACAAACCCCGACCCCAGACCCCAGGCCTCGAGCCTAGAATACAGCCTGATCTCCCCGCCCAACCTCAGCCTCCAAGCCCACCACTCACAAGAGCCCCCACTCCTGCCCCAAGCAAGGTGGCTGGGCCTCAGCCTCAAGATGGAAGCCGGGTCACAGCCTGCCCTGGGTCACAAGCCCTCACCACTCCCCAGAAGCCAGCCCTTTCACCCAAGCCCCAGATGGGACCACAGAAGTCCTTGCGCCCCACCATATGCGTCCCTCCTAGCCCCTTCCCAGGGCCCCTCCCCCACCAGGGGTAGCCGGGCTGGAGTTGTCCCCTGGGCAAGATGGTGGAACCGAGGCTTGGGTTTCAGGAGCCTGGCTGCGAACCTTGAGTAAGAGGATCCTACCACAGAAGGGGGACGGGGAGGCTCCCTGGGGACCTTGGTAGTGAATAAAGCCTCGAATCCCCACAGCCCCATCTCAGTGAGTGGTTTGCATCGAGCTGCGGGGGAGTGGGGCGAGCAGGCAGCACGCTAAGCTGGGTGCCTGCTGCACGCCTCGGATGCGCACCACCGGGCCATTTAACCGTTTATTGAGCAAGTGCATTGGGTGGCCACGGGGGAGGGGGGGCTCCGGACCTGGCTGTGGGGACCCCAACGGATGCTTCCAACACCCAAGGTCGATGACCCTTGAGTCCAGACCAGAGGAACATGAAGCTTGGTGTCTAAGACCCAGGCTGTGGCAAGGTGGGGGGACGCCCCAACTCAGGCTCCGGGTCTCTCTCGTCCCCACATCCCCAGGTTGTCCTGGGAGGAGTCTGGGGATTCAGGGAGGACATCCCTAAGTTAGGGGCTCCCCTCTTTAGTCCACAGAGCACTCGGGCTCCTGGGATAGCCACGGGCCTGTGGTAGTCACCAAGGATCTGAAGTTTGGGTGATGCTGTCCTTCAGGGCCCACTGGGCGCGGCCTGGACTGGGGGAGGGTGCAAGGTCAGAGCCCGGATCCGTGAACTGAGCCGTGGGTGCAGGCGCCGAAGCACGGACCTACGAAACAGGATGTAGACCCAGGGGTCCAAGATCTGGTTCCACGTGGCCACGCGCAGGTAAATGAGTAGTTGGTGCTCCGTGGCCCGCAACAGCTGCCCAGAGGAGCTCATGACAGGCGGCGTCTGCAGCAAGGTCTGTACGATAAAGACCTGCAGGAGCAGAGAGGGCTGTGCTGTGTGACCTTGGGGGAGCGGGACAACCTCTCTGAGCTGCTGCTATAGGACCCAGGAAGGAGTACAGGCTTTTGGCTCATGTCCTAGCTGGACGGAGGCAGAGAAAGTAAACTTGGCTCAAAGCAGCAGGGCACCCAGCGCCAGGCTCCGACCTTTTATTCCCTCTCTGTGTAGTCCCGGAATTCACTCTGTAGACCAGGCTGGCCTCGAACTCACAGCCTGCCTCTGCCTCCCAAGTGCTGGAATTAAAGATGTGCACCACTATGTTTTAGTTTTAGACAGAGTCTGGTCAGTTGCTCAGGCTGGCCTGAGACTTAATCCTGAGTGCCTGGGCCACACGCCTGCTATTCAGGCCCAGAGGTGAATCTGCTTTGTGCTGGGGAAGCCTGTATACAGTCAGCACATCATAAATGTCTGCTGAAGGAATAACGCCAAAGAAATAAAATAAAACAAAAGGTCTTGTGCCCGTGTTATAGCGGGGCTCCTCCTACCAGCCGGACTCCATCGATACAGGAGTCCACGGGGCAGCCAGGAGACACACGTGATCCGGCCACGCTATCTAGAACGTGTTTTCCTCTTATTCACCCTTCAAAGTCCTACTCCGGAGTGCCCAAGCCCAGACACATCTTCCTGTGGCCGACCCTAGAGGCCTGGAGGGTGTGAACCCAGGCTGCTCTCTCCCCGCCCCGCCCGGCCCGGCCCGGGAACTCACCAGCAGGGGCATCCAGCACACGGTGGCCACTACCATGATGCCCACCAGCTGCACCATCATCTCCACCTCGCAGTCCCGCGGGCGCTGGCGCGCAGCCTCGCGGCCATGGTAGACGCGGCAGAGTGTGGCCACGCTCACGGTGTTGAGCAGGAAGGACAGCCCGACGGACAGGCCGCCGAGCAGCGCGAACAGCAGGCCGAAGGCCACGTCTTCGCGCCGCGCGCCCAGCGTCAGGAAGCACCAGGAGCCCGGCCACTGCACCGAGTAGCGGCCGAGCCCCAGCAGCGGCAGCAGCCCGAGCGCCAGCGCCGCCAGCCACACGAGCGCCACGGTGGCCCAGGCGCGACGCCCGGGGGCCGCAGGCCGCCAGAAGGGCCGCGTGATGCCCACGAAGCGTTCCGAGGCCATGGCGGCGCCCAGCAGCAGCGGGCACAGCCCGAAGAAGACCATGGCCACCCCCATGAAGTGGCAGAGGCGGCAGCCGGGGTCGGCCGCCTGCCAGGCGAAGAGCGCCGCGTGCTGCGCCACCACGATGGCGCCGGTGACCAGCAGCCCCAGGAAGTCGGTGAGGACCAGGCCGCACAGCAGCGTGAGGAAGGACGAGCGCGGCGCGGGCGCCCCGGCCAGCGCGCTCAGGGCCAGCAGGTTGGAGCCCAGGCCCAGCACGCAGAAGGACGCGGCGAACCAGGGCGACGCGATGAGGCGCCGCTCCTGCGCGGTGATGGTGGCGTTCATCGGCCTGAAGCACGGCCCGGGGAGGCTGCCGTTGGGCCACATGGCTCCCGAGCTGACCGGGGCGTCACCACCCCATCGGGCGACCTGGGGAGACGAGGTGGACGAGGTGGTGAGCGCCCCGGCCTCCTGCGTCCTAACGTCCTTCAGCAGCTCCGGGTTGGGGTGCAGAGCTGGACCTCAGTTTCCCCCTCCATCGCCCCGGCCCGGTTTGGTACCTGCCCCGAGGCCAGCTCACGGGAACGGCCCTAGCCATTCCTCCGCGTCCCTCACGTCACTTTTATAATAAGAAAGGAACCAGAAGCTTTCGTTCCATTTTGGGAACAAGAAAAAACCCAAGCTAACCGGAACACATCCCCGGGGACGATGGCAGGGCCACAGAACCGAGCCAGTCTGGACCTGGCGTCTGTTCCACAGCCTGGTCCCTCCCAGCGCAGGGAGCGTGCGAGGCAGGAGGATGGCTGTGAGTTTAATCTACACAGAGAGATAAAAACCAGACTGGAGACAGGTGGGCACTTGCCAATATCTAATAACAGCCTCAGGCCGACGAGCAGTCCGTGTGATCCTCCTGCCTCAGACTCCTGGTGTGAACCATATTTGGTCTTTTCCCTTAGTTC